CGGGCCTCTCACTGTTGTAGCCTCTCCCGTTGCGGAGCACAGGCTCCGGACGCGCAGGCTCAGTGGCCATGGCTCACAGGCCCAGCCGCTCCGCGGCATGTGGGATCTTCCCGGACTGAGGCACGAACCCGTGTCCCCTGCCATCGGCAAGTGCACTCTCAACCACTGCGCCACCAGGGAAGCCCTCCACATCATAATTTTGTAATCATTTTAGAAAATAGAGTATATGAATGTACCATGATTTATTTCATCCCTTAGTGTTGGACATATGGATTGTTTCTAATTTTCCACTATGATAAATAGCGTTGTGATGAACCTTTGTATATATGAAGGTGTATGTCTTTGTGTACCATGTCTATTTCCTTAAGACAAATTCCTAGGAAATTATTGGGTCAAAGAGTACAGTCATGTTTAACGATTTGATTCCTATCACCAGATTGCTCTCTAGAAAGGTTAAACAAATTGACAGTCTCAATCACATATCCCATGGAATACTCTTTATCATGATTGTTCATCTTTTCTTTGCCAAACCCATGGGGAGAAAGTGGTATCTTAATACTTTAATTTGCACTGATTTTGTTACTAATGAATTTTAACAGTTTTGTATGCTCGTTGGCCATTTGTGCATGAATGGAATTTAATATGCAGAGCTGCTCTCTGCTGGTGACTTGCAGTCGGGGTGGGGTGGGGACTATTGATTTCTTTGTTCTGCCTGAATTGTCTCCCTAAAGCCCAAGTCTAGGTTTCATGAAATTCTCCCTGTTTCCTTTGTATTCAGAGAGCAGAACAACTCTCCAATACGCTGAAAAAAATTGCAACCAGCCAGAAATTTACGAACTTCAATCTTTTCTACATGGATTTTGACTTCCAAGAAAGTAAGTTTTGCTTGGTTTAGGTATTGACACAAGACAGAAGCAGCAGCTACCATTTAGAGCCTACCTGGGCAAGGCGTTTGTTTACAAGCCAACAGGCAGTATATTGGGCAGGGTCGCTTCTCCCCATTCTGACGCATTAATAGCTCTGAGTATTGAAAAGAGATAAAGTGTGAGACTCTTTCTGGAAAGGTGGAAGCTTAGCATCACCTCCTTACTTCACCATTATTTTAGAATCCCTGAAGCAATAGAGCCAGTGACCAGCTGGAAACAGCTTTGGCCTGGGAGCCAACAGGTCAGTGGAATCATCTAACTTATTCTTGACAGTTTAGCAATGCCCCGCTTACAGCTGGGCTAAAGATGAGTGTGACAGGAATGAGGGGTAAGGCAGTGCCTCTCCTTGGGGCCACTGGATTACCTAAGGACTCAAAACAAGGCAGAGTCCCAGACCTCACACATGATGAAACTAATGAGTCTCAAAGGGAGGACTTCAGATGCCTATGGCAAAGTGGACAAACCATATCCCAGCTTTCTGGAAAGAACATTACTGCTGCTTTTCTAGCATTCTATCCAAACATGGGGGTCACTGATGAGTGGCCACAAGAAAACAGGCATGATTACTGGATTTATCCTTTACATCTTGACTCTGAAAAATTATTATCTATTGACTTTAATCCTTCCAGTCCCATTTTCATTGCTAAGCAACTGTTATGCAAGAGAAAAGTCTCTGTTGATTGACTGCCAGCTGAGATGATGCTAATGAAAAGCTTTGCAGTGTATGCAAAGAGTGGACGATTTCTCATACGGAGTTTATCATCTCTATCTCCCCACCACCAACTCCCCCAGCCCAAGCATCTGGGATGAGACAGATGGCCATCATGAATTATCAAATATTACATCAGCTGTGACACGTTCTGCATTGTAGACTCCAGTGCTTCAATTCTGAACATCTTTTCAACAGGACTGATCTCCGCTAACTAGATTTCCTGCCTCAGTGATATATATTTCTCTCATGGGGAGAGACATTGTGATAAATAACCTGTCATTAAAATGCAGAGTTAAAGCCCCATTAATGAATTCCAGGTGTAAACAAATGCACCACCAAGTGATCTTTGATCATCACCCACCCTGAATATAGAGAAAGTTTTTAAAAATATAATATTGCCTAGTATTCACTTGAGACTTTTTCATTTTCCACAGTAATCTCTAGCTCTGTCATTTATTATCTTTGGGACTGTTGGCGATTCCCTGACTGAACATTTCTAAACCCTCCTTTCCAGACCTGGAAATGGAGACACTATATCTACATAAGAAGTCTTTGTGATGATTATGTAAAATAATGTGTAATCCTCCCAAATGCCATGCCTGGTACATAGCCAGCACCCAGGAAAGAGCACTGTTCCCTCACACCCTTGCCACTTAATACATAGCTCAAAATGAGCAACATCTATACACCTGGGGACTGGTTATAAATGCAGAGCCCCAGGCCCCACTCCTACTTAGGACATACCTAATCAGAGTCTGCATCTGTACATAATCCACAGATGATCTATTAAAATTAAAACACACATTAAAATTTAATAAATGGGGCCCCTGTAATGCTCCAAGATTAAGAACTTAGTCATTTAGTCATCAGACTTTTACTAAGCCCTCGTGTGTGCTGTGTAGGTGCTGGGAACATAGTTGTTAACAAAACAGAACCGTCCTCTCTTCATGAAAGATACAGGGAAAATAGCTTTCTCCTGGACCCCCACGCTGGCCAGCATTCCACATGCTTGGAAACAGAGGTTCCTCAGCACGTTCTTATCCTCAGAGCAACAATAAATGCACTAAAAAAGCAAAAAGTTCAGTTAACTTGAACACTCTACATCAACATGGCAGTTGGTCACCTTACTGAGAAACCTCCTAGATATCTCTCCTTGTTTGGCACTTCTCATCAGCAGTTCAAGGAATCTGCTGAGACTTTGTAATTCCCTGACGTTTCTTAAAAATGAAGGGTCAAGTTTTGGTCCAGGGCCTTCTTCGTCTTCTCCATGTGAAGTTAGTCTCCACTAGAGAAGATACAGTGGGAGGGAGAGTGGAGGCAGAGGAAATGATACTCTGGGATCTGCCTCCAGAAACATCCGATACAGCATCATGCATTTAATGGCTACGTGTTATCACGTGTGCTTCTGAGAGAGCTGGCGTTTTTATCTAGTTTTCAAGAACTGTGGTAAGGTCTTAACTTACACCCAATGTTAGACTACTGCAAAGGGCATGCCTACCTTGAGATTTTAGCATTTTCCAGAGTAGGCAGAGGGCGCATCCACTCCCAGATCCATCTCCGTGGATAAGCTCCCCCACCCGGGCAGCTCATCCTCCTGGAAATCTGGCCTACCTCATGTAGGTGAATATGCGATTATACAAAGAGCCCAGAATTTACAACCAGATAGACCTGTATTCCTATCTCAACTCAGACATAGAATAGCTGTGTAACCTCGAGCAAATGAAATAACCATTCAAGTTTAGTTTCCTTTTGTGTAAGGTAGCAGTAACTAAACCGTGGGCTCTATGTAAGGGTAGAGACAGTGCTTGTCATGTAGTAAGGACTCTGATACCTGTCAGCTGACACCCTCCCATCTCCACCACCATCACTGTATGTAAAGCACCTACTACATTCTTCCAGGGCTTATGATAGATGGATAATAAATGTTTATTCTTTTTCAATGTCTAACCCTCCCCATCACCAACTGAGCCCGTGCATCACTTTGAGTTCCTCACAGGAAGCTATGCTAGAAACGCATCTCCTTATCACAGTTTCCTTTTATCAGAAATAAAAACCCTATAGAGTCACTGATTAAATCTGCAGTCTCACTAGTCACATGAAAATCTCTGCTCTCATTTCTATACTGTATTTGAGCTATCGCATCACAAATATCACGTTTCATATGAGATTTACAATTTTATACCCTGTGACAGAGCAAATGACAGTTGAGGGTCCCTGTCCCTTGAGAGTAGACACGAGACCTATCAGTTCTCTACTCTGACAGCCTCAGTCCAGCACCGAGAGATGACTGCTCACCTCAGAGACTCTTTTTTGTCTCTTGCTGACTCATCCTCCAACTGGTTATGAGCTAAACAGAGGCAGCAATTTTTTTCCCCTTCAGGAAATGCCAGCTTGAGCAGGTGATGTCCTTTTTCTTCATCTCCACCACACCTCCCATACAGAGGAAGGAGCATGCCACTTGGCTGACAAGGCCATTTTTTCACTGACACTTTCAATATACCACCAGCTCCCCTCAGCTTCTAAGACAACTCAGTTAGAGTTTTGGTTCTTTGGTTCCAGCTCCCCTCCCCTCAAGTGCATGTTTGTCAAAATGACCAGTGACTTCATAGTGCTGACCAGAATTCAGATTTCTCTTTTTAAATATCTGCTAATCATCAAGGAGCTACCAAATGTTCTGTGAAGCTCCTGTGATTGCTATTGCATCTCTGCAAAACTGGTCATTAGCAGAGTTTCTTTGACTTTACAAATAAAGGAAATACATTACCTACCAAATCCAAAGAGATCACTCGTGATCTTTCAAGAGCTTTAATTCAAGTGTTCCAAAGAACAAACGGCAATTTATTTGCCTATTTTTAAGGGAACTGGCCAATCCACCATAATACCCTGCTTGGACCACCAGGTCTAAATCAGGGAAGAAGTGGAGACCACTGTCTGGTATTGCATTTATTCTAAGAAAGCAAAATTTCACCCTGAGATAATCAAACTAAAAAGGGTCACTCTGTCTAGCACTGGTCATAATACAGGTAAGACCTTAAACTCTTGCCTGTGAGTTACTGACTCTTCCTGTAAGTGTTATAATTCTTATGTCTACAGATATTCAGTGACTGGTAAGCATCAGAGACACAATAATCACAAGAGAAAATATCCTACGTTATGGGATCAAGCCTCCAAGGGGAGTAGAAGGAATCACCATTCCTTCTCACTTTGAAAAATAGTCATGAATTCTGATGACTAAATTATGTCCATCTGTTCCATGAAGTATAATATCTATCACCACCTCTCCCTTTCTCTAAGGGCCATAATTTTTAGTTTGGTAGTTAGTAATGCACATAAAATTCATATCAAAATGGAAACAGCCTAGACTAACTTTAAGCCTCGTTAAGACTAGCATTGAATCACACTAGAGGAAACACGGGTATAAGAAAGTCTGGTCTTTTTAATATGGAGCTCTTAACAAACATTCCTCTCCAGGAACACGATCTTGGCTTAAACTGTGTTTCATTTATAAGCTCAAATTCGCTTTCCACTGTCGATTTTCCAGATCTCCGGATCACTGTAATTCCTTTCTGAACGTTCTCTTGGCCAGGGAAGGCACGAGTTTAGATTCAATTTGTCACTCAACCTTCTCTGCAAATGTGAAGAGTCAAAAAGTGTTATGAGGAACTTCCTACCCCTGCTGGGTCAGAGGATGTGTGAGTGGTCCAGGTCAGGCCCTTGGCTTGCTGTCTATCTCTTTAATACAACCCTTTCTCAGGTCTTGACTGGGCTTGGTTCCCATTGTCCAACAGGCCTGGGAATTACTTAACATCTGATTGAGGTTTTCTTTCATTCTTTCTTTTCTTTCTCTTTTTAACATTTGTGTAGCATAAGGTGAAACCAAACTGAAAATAAGGGAGAAGCAGGAGAAAGGATTGAAAAGTTCATTGAGGATTTACGTGAAGGAAGCGAGGTCACCTCTGAAGACACAGAGGAGCTTAGGAGGCTGACATCTTGCCTGGGCTGGACCTTTCTGCATCAGTGTTGATTTCTGTATTAGAAACCCTGTGGGGCTGCAGAGTAGAGATGAGACAAATAGTACAAAAGAACAAAAAGCGCTGAGGGGGCTCAGTGGGGGTGACATTGACTTTGTATTTGAAGAAACCCTTCCAATGCCTGGTGCTCCATTAAGGGTAATTGGTTGGATGTTCAGATTGGAAATGGCTCGGAGAGAGAATCAGCATAAAGTTAGAAAGTAGAACAGCAGGATCCAAAGAACAAGTAGGAAAGTGACCCATTGTCTCCCGACCAAGGGGGAGAAAGAAGAGTCTGAACCAAGCACGGGGAATGCATGACAGGTGAGCCAGGATGAGCAGGGCTGGGCTGGAGCACTATGGCACACCCAGAAAGACAGGAGGGACCCATAGGTGCTTCAAAGTATCAGATCCAGAGGGGAAGGGGAAGCACCCAGAACTGAACCTGAAGCAGAAAATCTGGGTCCGAGGTCATGCCTGAAAAACAGAACAGCCAGGTAACCTGAAGCTAGAGCCAGGCAAGCTTCCCCAAGGCTCTGTCTTTTACGGGGTACCTAGGGCCAATGGCAGGAAACTGTGAGGTCTGCAAGCTGGGTCAGCAGAACAAATAAGCCTTCATATGGGTTAGTGTGGTTTCAGTAGCATTATAATTCTGAGCTTCCTATCAGAAGAGCAGATACATACCATCCCTTCAGAGAGATACACCGTTTACCAGCGTGAAGCAATCTCTCCCTTGTGACCACATGTGGAGGACACAGTGGACAATATCCTTGATCTGAGTTTCACAAGAAATGCAAAGGTCACTTTCCATTAGCTGCTGCTTCTAGCAACCTCCAATGAAACCCAGCATAAAGTATGAGAGTGGCTCAGTGGTGGCCATTCTGGCAGGGAAAAAGCCAACAGGAATTGGTGATCCAGTATAGGACTCCAAACCACCAGCAGGGATTGTTTCCT